CACACAACAACAGCCTCACAAACACCATCCACACAACAGCCTCACAAACACCATCCACACACAACAAGAGCCTCACAAACACCATCCACACCACAACAAGAGCCTCACAAACACCATCCACACACAACAACAGCCTCACAAACACCATCCACACACAACAGCCTCACAAACACCATCCACACACAACAACAGCCTCACAAACACCATCCACACACAACAACAGCCTCACAAACACCATCCACACACAACAACAGCCTCACAAACACCATCCACACACAACAACAGCCTCACAAACACCATCCACACACAACAACAGCCTCACAAACACCATCCACACACAACAACAGCCTCACAAACACCATCCACACACAACAACAGCCTCACAAACACCATCCACACACAACAGCCTCACAAACACCATCCACACACAACAACAGCCTCACAAACACCATCCACACACAACAGCCTCACAAACACCATCCACACACAACAACAGCCTCACAAACACCATCCACACACAACAACAGCCTCACAAGCACCATCCACACACAACAACAGCCTCACAAACACCATCCACACACAACAGCCTCACAAACACCATCCACACACAACAACAGCCTCACAAACACCATCCACACACAACAACAGCCTCACAAGCACCATCCACACACAACAGCCTCACAAACACCATCCACACACAGCCTCACAAGCACCATCCACACACAACAGCCTCACAAACACCATCCACACACAACAACAGCCTCACAAACACCATCCACACACAACAACAGCCTCACAAACACCATCCACACACAACAACAGCCTCACAAACACCATCCACACAACAACAACTGCCTCACAAACACCATCCACACACACAACAGCCTCACAAACACCATCCACACACACAACAGCCTCACAAACACCATCCACACACAACAACAGCCTCACAAACACCATCCACACACAACAACTGCCTCACAAACACCATCCACACAACAACTGCCGCCTCACAAACACCATCCACACAACAACTGCCGCCTCACAAACACCATCCACACACAACAACAGCCTCACAAACACCATCCACACAACAGCCTCACAAACACCATCCACACAACAACTGCCGCCTCACAAACACCATCCACACAACAACTGCCGCCTCACAAACACCATCCACACACAACAACAGCCTCACAAACACCATCCACACAACAGCCTCACAAACACCATCCACACACAACAAGAGCCTCACAAACACCATCCACACACAACTGCCTCACAAACACCATCCACACACAACAACTGCCTCACAAACACCATCCACACACAACAACAGCCTCACAAACACCATCCACACAACAGCCTCACAAACACCATCCACACACAACAAGAGCCTCACAAACACCATCCACACCACAACAAGAGCCTCACAAACACCATCCACACACAACAACAGCCTCACAAACACCATCCACACACAACAACAGCCTCACAAACACCATCCACACACAACAACAGCCTCACAAACACCATCCACACACAACAGCCTCACAAACACCATCCACACACAACAACAGCCTCACAAACACCATCCACACACAACAACAGCCTCACAAACACCATCCACACACAACAACAGCCTCACAAACACCATCCACACACAACAACAGCCTCACAAACACCATCCACACACAACAACAGCCTCACAAACACCATCCACACACAACAGCCTCACAAACACCATCCACACACAACAACAGCCTCACAAACACCATCCACACACAACAACAGCCTCACAAACACCATCCACACACAACAGCCTCACAAACACCATCCACACACAGCCTCACAAACACCATCCACACAACAACAAGAGCCTCACAAACACCATCCACACACAACAGCCTCACAAACACCATCCACACACAACAGCCTCACAAACACCATCCACACACAACAGCCTCACAAACACCATCCACACACAACAACAGCCTCACAAACACCATCCACACAACAACAACAGCCTCACAAACACCATCCACACACAAGAGCCTCACAAACACCATCCACACACAACAGCCTCACAAACACCATCCACACACAACAACAGCCTCACAAACACCATCCACACACAACAACAGCCTCACAAACACCATCCCCACACAACAACAGCCTCACAAACACCATCCACACACAACAACTGCCTCACAAACACCATCCACACACAACAGCCTCACAAACACCATCCACACACAACTGCCTCACAAACACCATCCACACACAACAACTGCCTCACAAACACCATCCACACACAACAACAGCCTCACAAACACCATCCACACACAACAACTGCCTCACAAACACCATCCACACACAACAACTGCCTCACAAACACCATCCACACACAACAACAGCCTCACAAACACCATCCACACACAACAACAGACTCACAAACACCATCCACACACAACACTCACAAACACCATCCACACACAACAACAGCCTCACAAACACCATCCACACACAACAGCCTCACAAACACCATCCACACACAACAACAGCCTCACAAACACCATCCACACACAACAGCCTCACAAACACCATCCACACACAACAACAGCCTCACAAACACCATCCACACACAACAACAGCCTCACAAACACCATCCACACACAACAGCCTCACAAACACCATCCACACACAGCCTCACAAACACCATCCACACAACAACAAGAGCCTCACAAACACCATCCACACACAACAACAGCCTCACAAACACCATCCACACACAACAGCCTCACAAACACCATCCACACACAACAACAGCCTCACAAACACCATCCACACAACAACAACAGCCTCACAAACACCATCCACACACAACAAGAGCCTCACAAACACCATCCACACACAACAAGAGCCTCACAAACACCATCCACACACAACAGCCTCACAAACACCATCCCCACACAACAACAGCCTCACAAACACCATCCACACACAACAACTGCCTCACAAACACCATCCACACACAACAGCCTCACAAACACCATCCACACACAACTGCCTCACAAACACCATCCACACACAACAACTGCCTCACAAACACCATCCACACACAACAACAGCCTCACAAACACCATCCACACACAACAACTGCCTCACAAACACCATCCACACACAACAACTGCCTCACAAACACCATCCACACACAACAACAGCCTCACAAACACCATCCACACACAACAACAGACTCACAAACACCATCCACACACAACAACACTCACAAACACCATCCACACACAACAACAGCCTCACAAACACCATCCACACACAACAGCCTCACAAACACCACCCACACACAACAACAGCCTCACAAACACCATCCACACAACAACAAGAGCCTCACAAACACCATCCACACACAACAACAGCCTCACAAACACCATCCACACACAACAACTGCCTCACAAACACCATCCACACACAACAACAGCCTCACAAACACCATCCACACACAACAACTGCCTCACAAACACCATCCACACACAACAACTGCCTCACAAACACCATCCACACACAACAACTGCCTCACAAACACCATCCACACACAACAACTGCCTCACAGACACCATCTACACACAACAACTGCCTCACAAACACCATCCACACACAACAACAGCCTCACAAACACCATCCACACACAACAACAGACTCACAAACACCATCCACACACAACAGCCTCACAAACACCATCCACACACAACAAGAGCCTCACAAACACCATCCACACACAACAAGAGCCTCACAAACACCATCCACACACAACAACAGCCTCACAAACACCATCCACACAACAACAAGAGCCTCACAAACACCATCCACACACAACAAGAGCCTCACAAACACCATCCACACACAACAAGAGCCTCACAAACACCATCCACACACAACAACAGCCTCACAAACACCATCCACACACAACAACAGCCTCACAAACACCATCCACACACAACAACAGCCTCACAAACACCATCCACACACAACAACAGCCTCACAAACACCATCCACACACAACAACAGCCTCACAAACACCATCCACACACAACAACTGCCTCACAAACACCATCCACACACAACAACTGCCTCACAAACACCATCCACACACAACTGCCTCACAAACACCATCCACACACAACAACAGCCTCACAAACACCATCCACACACAACAGCCTCACAAACACCATCCACACACAACAACTGCCTCACAAACACCATCCACACACAACAACTGCCTCACAAACACCATCCACACACAACAACTGCCTCACAAACACCATCCACACACAACAACAGCCTCACAAACACAATCCACACACAAGAGCCTCACAAACACCATCCACACACAACAACAGCCTCACAAACACCATCCACACACAACTGCCTCACAAACACCATCCACACAACAACAAGAGCCTCACAAACACCATCCACACAACAACAGCCTCACAAACACCATCCACACACAACAGCAGCCACACAAACACATCAATCCAATCATCATTCACATAAGAATCACTCATAGGTTTTAATTGTATGCAACAGCCTAGATTTGATTTTGAAATTTGCACCCTTTGTGCCCTTTGCTTACAATGGTTTACATTAGGATAAGTGAGGTGGTATGCCTGTGTAATTATTCCCAGCCATTGTACAACTCTGTGGGTATTATTATGATTGCAATAGTATACAATTTGTATTTAACTCTTACCTTTGTGAATTACTTTATTTGCAATAACATGCCAAAGGAAAATTAATATATATTATATTTTATAGGAATCTGTTGAAAGTTCATTTTGGTGTTATTTCATGAAATTAATCATTATTTAACCAGTATCAGCGGTAGTGTTCCGTTTTCAATAATTCGTTACTGTAATGCTAGTAAACAGGCACGGGATATATTGTATTGTTGTTATAACTGACATAATTCTTTGTTTCAGTGACTGGCAGATCAAACCACTTACCTTAAGGAAATCCACTGACAGTGAAGGGTCACCGTCAGAGAGTAACAAGAGTTCGAGGAGAATACTCGACAGGATCAAACTGTGATCCTCATTTTTGTTCCCAACAAAATGTCCTGTTTGACTGAGGAAATTAAGAAACACGTGTAAACGGAACCTAACCTAATCATATTTGTGGCCAGAGACTGGAGGAAAGTTGGAAGTAGGTGATGAACATAGAGCAACATACACCACTCCAGCACGTGCCTCAGGTGTGTAAGGAAGGTGTTCACAGTGATATACCTGTCTAACTTGTCTAGCCTACAACATGGCCACCTACAACTTTACGCCCAACTTTCAAAAACTCCAACAACAGTTTTCAGCCCCGACTGATTCACCAGGAAGCCAGAATAATAAACCATCAACAGAAGGCAGAATGGACACAGCCAGGAACCTCCAAGTTTGAACATGGTGGATACAAATCCGTCCTTAATAAAGCCCAGATGTCATGACCTGCACAATGAAATCACAATAACATGATGTATCAAAGAAAATACCGAGTCATTATAATTGGATCAAACCATCATAAATTGTTTGCTTTGTTTCATATCAAATGTGAGAGATAATATATTCAAGATCTTAACTACTGAAGTGATAAAATAATAAAAGTTGAAACAGAGGCACAATCTGCCATTTACTAAAGTTAGCCCAAGTAATTGATCGACAAACAATAAAATGATCAAAGACTCTTGAAAGTGACTAACATATACAAGGTATTTAAATCACACACCAAAATACCGGGTTTACGGCTAAGCTGAAGTATTATTCTACAGACTATGTGTTATATTCCCCGTAGTACAGTCGGAATTGTTCTCGACTCACAATCCAGAATTCAGTGTTCGAATCCCGTGTGGGAGAGAAATGGTTGGGAGAGTGTTCCCCCAGTTCACCCAGCAGTAAATATGTACAGACGAGTTAGTCAACTTCTTGTGAGGTTGCCTCCTGGCGACGGTCAGTAATTCAACTTTGGTATGGAAGGGGGAGGGGGGGGGGGGGGGGTGAGACCTTGATATAAGCCTAACATGAACAGTATATATACACTGGCTGTCTGTCTCCCGATACAACGAGTCATTAATTGGGACAACCAAGGAAATATAAGACGCTTGTGTACAATTATGAAACAATTACTGAACTAGCGGTCAAGTTTGTCTATAGATGACAAAACTAGCAAAGCCTTGAGCAGCCCATTAGGAGAGTGGACCATATAGCCGGTATGTGATACAGAGCTTACATAGTCTTCAACGATCTTCAGCCACAGATGGCTTGCCCACATGGCTGTATGGCTTGGGCCATAAAGGACGGGCAGCTGGAGGCTTTACGGAATTAACCTTTTTTGTAAATTTTACTGAAAATTACCAACTTAAAATTATCTGTTAGATTAAGGACTTGCCGGAAACGCCATGCGTGTTAATGGCTTCACAACAATGTAAAATCATTGCTATGTACTCTCTTAACCCCCCAATGTACCTTCTTGTATATATATAAATAAATAAATTAATGGTGACAGTAAGACGGAACAAGGAATACATATTCTTAAGGATCCATGAAACTGCCACCAGATCATGAGGACTCTTATTAAATGTTTATATTCCGGAGAATTATGCCTCTTCAGACGAAGATGTTTCCGGCTGTTTGGTCACTGACGACAGGACTCAAGAGTGTTATATCCCGGTTAAACATTTAATATTATATTTCATGTGTATATTGATTGACTTGTAGATGTTATATGAAATACAATTATTGAGTTAATAAAGTTATTTGCATTACCTTCCGAGTACTGACACGTCCAGGAAGATGTACACAGTGTTAGCCTAACTTGGCCACGAATTATTTCCAGTAGTTGTAATGTGTCATGGTGACTGATGCTGCTAAAACATTAACAGGGGCGCACTTTTAATACTCAGAAGATGACTATCATCATATTTAACTACCATGGACCAGAGTAATGTTGATAAGCACTACACAAACACGCTTCCCTGGACAGTAGAGGTCGGGCAACGTGTTTGGCTATTACCCCTATTTTGGTGTTAAAATATTATCCCCAAAACTTCCAAGTAAACAAAAGCAAGATAATACCAATTGGTATAAAGAATAAACGTCTCAACTCAAAGTCAAGAATTAATAAGACAACAAAAAGCACACGTTATAATAACACACACAATTAATAAAAAGGATTGAAGAACTCACCATGTTATGAATTTAATTCATAACATCTAAACTTCAGGTTTTGGTAAAAGGTGTGTGGACACTTGATAAACCACCACCAGTATCAGGGCCTGTTGATGTCACAGCAACTTAACACCATTGACACCATGCTCTTTCAACCAATTTCGCTACTTAGTTTTCATGTTCATTTGGGTAAAATAGCTTTGTTCATACAAATAGGTTATTACAAAAGGCAGCAGCAATGTCGTCGCATACACACGTGCAGTTTTGAAAGCCACTGTAGTGTTTGACTCCCAAAAATATGACATCCGTCTTATTCTGAAATTCAATGCGCGCTTTACTGCTGGTGTGAAGTTAAGACGTTTCTCTGACAATCCTTCAGGCACAATAGGAAGTTGTGTTGAAGAGGTTTACAACGCAACATCACTCGCCGCTTTTTGAGTTTGGTACATGTCTTTTATCCGACTCCTTCATGTCACAAAGAGCGAGACGTCCACAGTCTTCCCAACACACTGCTACCGACTCCTTCATGTCACAAAGAGCGAGAGGTCCACAGTCTTCCCAACACACTGCTACCGACTCCTTCATGTCACAAAGAGCGAGAGGTCCACAGTCTTCCCAACACACTGCTACCGACTCCTTCATGTCACAAAGAGCGAGACGTCCACAGTCTTCCCAACACACTGCTACCGACTCCTTCATGTCACAAAGAGCGAGACGTCCACAGTCTTCCCAACACACTGCTACCGACTCCTTCATGTCACAAAGAGCGAGAGGTCCACAGTCTTCCCAACACACTGCTACCGACTCCTTCATGTCACAAAGAGCGAGAGGTCCACAGTCTTCCCAACACACTGCTACCGACTCCTTCATGTCACAAAGAGCGAGACGTCCACAGTCTTCCCAACACACTGCTACCGACTCCTTCATGTCACAAAGAGCGAGAGGTCCACAGTCTTCCCAACACACTGCTACCGACTCCTTCATGTCACAAAGAGCGAGAGGTCCACAGTCTTCCCAACACACTGCTACCGACTCCTTCATGTCACAAAGAGCGAGAGGTCCACAGTCTTCCCAACACACTGCTACCGACTCCTTCATGTCACAAAGAGCGAGACGTCCACAGTCTTCCCAACACACTGCTACCGACTCCTTCATGTCACAAAGAGCGAGACGTCCACAGTCTTCCCAACACACTGCTACCGACTCCTTCATGTCACAAAGAGCGAGACGTCCACAGTCTTCCCAACACACTGCTACCGACTCCTTCATGTCACAAAGAGCGAGAGGTCCACAGTCTTCCCAACACACTGCTACCGACTCCTTCATGTCACAAAGAGCGAGACGTCCACAGTCTTCCCAACACACTGCTACCGACTCCTTCATGTCACAAAGAGCGAGAGGTCCACAGTCTTCCCAACACACTGCTACCGACTCCTTCATGTCACAAAGAGCGAGACGTCCACAGTCTTCCCAACACACTGCTACCGACTCCTTCATGTCACAAAGAGCGAGACGTCCACAGTCTTCCCAACACACTGCTACCGACTCCTTCATGTCACAAAGAGCGAGAGGTCCACAGTCTTCCCAACACACTGCTACCGACTCCTTCATGTCACAAAGAGCGAGACGTCCACAGTCTTCCCAACACACTGCTACCGACTCCTTCATGTCACAAAGAGCGAGACGTCCACAGTCTTCCCAACACACTGCTACCGACTCCTTCATGTCACAAAGAGCGAGAGGTCCACAGTCTTCCCAACACACTGCTACCGACTCCTTCATGTCACAAAGAGCGAGAGGTCCACAGTCTTCCCAACACACTGCTAGTTTTGGAATGGCGGCTCTTGTTTTGTTCCACACTCGGGTTCCTGTACACAAACTTTGATTCAAATGCTGAAATCTTTTATCTTGTTAAAATGACTGATGATTCTCTTGAAATTCCTGGGTCATTAATTCACAAGCACAAAGTTGTCGGCTAAATGTGCGAGATGTGCAAGCCTGGTGGAGGTTCTCAACCTATCTGTAAATGCATGTTTCTTGATCCACAAAAATATTTCACGTTTAGTTCTAAGGAGCCCACACTATATTCAGAACAACTGTACATGAAATCCCTTTTACTTGTGTACAAAATAGGAGGCTTGAATGTTCACCCTTCCCATCTTCACATAAATCATGAAACAGCAGCATGATTAGTGCATGCCCATTGAGAGCGGTGACAATCTTGATAACATCATTCATCACAGCTTCCAGTACAGGTGCTAACTGCTTCACGATGTATGCCTGCCAATGGATCATACAGTGGGTAACTTCTATTTCTGAATTCTGCTTTTTGGCCAAAGCAGAAGAACCAGTAAGGTGCCAGTACTGCTGGAGCTCCATCAACACAACCCTGATACAGTCTTCCCATTTAACTCAACACTTTATGTTTTTAAGTGTACATTAACCTTGTTGAAGACATCGATGCTGGGAGCTCTCAACTCTAAGAGAACATCATAACATTTCTTCAACAGCATCTGAACCCCTGTATGGAACATAAACCCTCACCTGCAAGTTGTTACTCATATCAGATTTCTCATCAAATCGAATATCTAAAAATTTGCTCTCTCTGATTGAAGAAATCCCTTGTTCCCCAACATTTTCTAAAACGAAAATGATCATTTTCACAACTCTAGCAGATAAAAGGAATGACTGCAGTCGTGTGGCTTCTTTCTGGCCACACATAATATCTGCAATATTCACAGCTGCAGGTTTGACCAATTATTCACCAATAGTTTGTGCTTCTTGCTTTAGGCAATCAATCAGGTCACTTTAAAGCTCGCTCCTGATGCTGAATGTTAATTAAATGTCTCTCTCAAGCTGTGTTACAATCTCGGCCTTTTGACAGCTTTTCCAAATTGTCAAAGTATCCATGGTTTGGAAGACAGATCTGAGTGTAAATTTCCTAAGTGATTCTTCAGCTGTTACTTTTTTTTTTAAACTGTAGTCAGCACTTTCAAAAACACACACACACACACACACACACACACACACACACACACACACACACATCCAGTACCTTCCTCCCTTGGGAATGAGTGATCACGACCTGTTTGACATTGATTATGTTTTAAGATATCATCTAGAAAAAAATGGGGACATTGAAACAGTTGATAAACTCGATTTAAGGAGAGGCAACTATGGGGAACTTCGAAATTTTTTTAATGAGTGTAATTGGACAGACTTGTTCCTAGGCAGGGAAGTAAATGAAATGTATGGCAAATTTTTACAAATATACGAGGAAGGCACACAAACATTCATACCAAAACAGAGATGCAGGGCCAGAAAACAGGATTGGTTCGACAGAAATTGTGAGAGGGCAAGAGACCAAAAGACACAAAAATGGAATCAGTATAGGAAGAGGCCAAACCCCCAAACATACCAGCGATACAAAGATGCGAGAAACAACTATACGACAGTAAGGAGAGAGGCAGAAAAAAATTTTGAAAAAGGGATAGCGGATAAATGTAAAACAGAACCGGGCCTATTCTACAAATTCATAAACAACAAATTACAGGTAAAGGATAATATCCAGAGGTTGAAAATGGGAAACAGATTCACTGAAAATGAAAAGGAAATGTGTGAAACATTAAATGAAAAGTTCCAAAGTGTGTTTGTACAAAATGAAATCTTCAGTGAACCAGACACAATAAGAATTCCAGAGAACAACATAGAGCGGATAGAGGTGTCTAGAGATGAAGTGGAAAATATGCTCAAGGAGCTCAGTAAGAACAAAGCAGCTGGCCCAGATGGAGTCTCACCATGGGTT